TGTTGAAGCCCCTTTAGCACCAATTACAGCCTCAAGTCATTTTGAGTATGATGCTACAAGCTTGGCACACCTATTTTTGGGCACTTTCTCCCATTCTTATTTGCAGTACCTCTCAAGCGTCTTCAGGTTGGATGAGGAGTGCAGGTGCACAGCCATTTTCAGATCTCTCCAGAGATGTTCAATCGGGTTCAAGTCTGACATCTGGCGTGGCCACTCCATGACATTCACAGAGTTGGCCCGTAGCCACTTATTTGTTATGTGGGCTGTGTGCTTAGGGTCGTTGTCCTGTTGAAAGATGAACCGTCGCCCCATTCTAAGATCCAGAGCGCTCTGGAACAGGTTTTCATCAAGGATGTCTCTGTACATTGCTGCATTCATCTTTCCTTCAATCCTGACTAGTCTCCCAGTTCCTGCCGCTGAAAAAACATCCCCACAGCATGATGCTGCCACCACCACCATGCTTCACTGTAGGAATGGTGTTGGCCAGGTGATGAGTGTTGACTGGTTTCCTCCAGACATGACGCTTGGCATTCAGGCCAATGAGTTCAATCTTTGTTTCATCAGACCAGAGAGCTTTGTTTCTCATGGTTTGAGAGTCCCTCAGGTGCCTTTTGGCAAACTCCAGGTTGGCTGCCGTTTGCCTTTTACTGTGGAGTGGCTTCCGTCTGGCCACTCTACCATACAGGCCTGATTGGTGGAGTGCTACAGAGATGGTTGTTCTTCTGGAAGGTTCTCCTCTTTCCACAAAGAAACGCTTGAGCTCCAGAGTGACCATTGGGTGCTTGGTTACCTCCCTGGCTAAGGCCCTTCTCCTTCGATCGCTCATGGTGGCTAGGAGGCCCGCTCTAGGAAGATTCCTGGTGGTTCCAAACTTCCTCCGTTTATGGATGATGGAGGCCACTGTGCTCATTGGGACCTTCAGTGCTGCAGAAATTTTTCTGTACCCTTCCCTAGATCTGTGCCTTGATACAATATTGTCTCAGAGGTCTACGGACAATTCCTTGGACCTCATGGCTTGGTTTGTGCTCTGACATGCACTGTTAACTGTGGGACCTTGTATAGACAGGTTTATGCCTTTCCTAATCATGTCCAGTCAACTGAATTTCCCACAGGTGGACTCCAATCAAGTTGTGGAAACATCTCAAGGATGATCAGCGGGAACAGGATGCACCAGATCTCAGTTTTGAGTGTCATGGCAAAAGGCTTTGAATACTTACGTACATGAGTTTTTTTTTTTATTTTATTTTTAATAAATTGCAAAGATTTCAAAACAAACTTATTTCACGTTGTCTTTATGGGGTATTGTTTGTAGAATGTTGAGGATAAAAATGAATTTAATCCATTGTGGAATAAGGCTGTAACATAACAAAATGTGTCAAAAGTTAAGCTCTTTAGATTTTAGATATAAAGTAGCACTGGAGGTTAATTGATAGAAAACATCAACTTCATCATTTAAGGAATAACAAGCAAACTGCATTGTTTAACTTTCTATATGAATACTTGGTGATCCAACCAGTAAGTAGGCCTTCCTTCAACAGGTGACAAGGTTAAATATCTAGTATCGGATTCTCTGCAGCGTTTACACCTTGTACAGCTGTGTCCTTATGTAAGCCCTGTGTCAATATAGCATTCTTCCTCAATTCGGGTAGTGCGGGTCACATATACATCGGAGATTCTGGAGGAGGTGACCTTGTTATCCATTTATCTTGGATCCCTAACAAAGGATTCACAAAGCTCTCATCAAGCTTTCTCTAAGCCTTTAGAGTACCCTTTGTTCCAAGTGAAAGAGTATTAAAAACATAAATATTAAAGCTGAACTTTAGTCAAATACAAAGACATCAATGAATGAATGTAATAAATCATTAAGGCTCGATTCACACCTGCATGTTCTGGGAATGCATGCGTAAATGAGCGTTTCTGCACACGTTCCTGAAACATGCATTATGCTTGCGTTGCCATTAATTGCTACCCCAAACGAGGCTAGCAAAAGCCAGTTTTTTCATGCACCAAATTGTTCAATGCTCGCCGGTTGAAAAAGGCACAGGAGTTTCTTTCAAGACAGCCCATTCAAGTGAGTGGGTTGCCCTATGATGTCGCACCAAAAACGCACCAAAAAAAGCATTGTAAATAGTGCAAAACATAGGGACCTAAAGGGAATCTGTTACTTTGCCCATTCTTGGCAGGTTCCCCCACCTTCACCCACCAGTACTATTGTTTTCTGTGCTTCCCCAGTGCTTCATGTAGGAACACCTGGAACTTGAGGTATGGAGGAGCAATGCAATTTTTTTTCTTACCTCCCAGGATTCATGTCACAATGGTGAGAAGGGAGATTAGGCATGGGCCTGAGGGGACTATGATCAGGCCTAAACCCAGTAAAGTGGTGAGAGGGTGAATGTTCATGGGTCTGAGGGGACAATGGCTGAGCCTGAGCACTATCACATAGTTGGAGAGGAGAATATGTGTGGACCTGAGGGGGACAGTGGCCAGGTCTGAACACTGTCAAGAGGTCAGAGAGGAGAATATGCATGGGCCTGAGGAGACATTGGCCAGGCCAGAACACTGTCACATAGTGGGTGAGGAGAATATGTACTGTATGGGCTTGGGGGAACAATGGCCAGGCCTGAGCACTGCCATATGGTGGGAGTGGAGAATGTGCATGGATCTGAGGGGACAATGGCCAGGCCTGAACCCTGTCACAGGTTGTTGAGAGGAGAGAATATGCATGGGTCTGAGGGGACAATGGCCAGGCCTGAATACTTTCACATGGTGGGAGAGCAGAATATTTACTGTATGGGCTTGAGGGCACAATGGCCAGTCCTAAACACAGTTTTGGGCTGGGAGAATATGTGTGGGCCTGAGGGCACAATAACAAGGTCGGAACACTGTCATGTGGTGGTAGAGGAGAATATTATGCATGGACTTGAGAGGACAATGGCCTCGCCTGAACACTGTCACAGGCTGGAAGAGGAGACTATGCATGGACCTGAGGGAACAATGGCCAGGCCTGAACACTTACACATGGTGGGAGAAGGGAATATTTACTGTATGGGCTTGAGGTGACGATGGTCAGGCCTGAACACGGTTACGGGCTGGAAGAATATGCATGGGCTTGTGGGGACAATGGCCCGGGCTTGCTCACTGCCATATGGTCAGAGAGGAGAATATCTATGGATATGAAGGGACAATGGTCGAGCCTGAAAAATGTCATGGGTTGGGAGGAGAGAATATGCATGGACCTGAGGGGACAATGCCCCGGGCCTGAACACTGTCATATGGTGAGAGAGGAGAATATCCATGGATCTGAGGGGACAATGGCCCGGGCCTGAACACTGTCAAGTGGTGGGAGAGGAGAATATCCATGGATCTGAGGGGACAATGGCTCGGGCAGAACACTGTCAAATTGTGGAAGAGGAGAATATCCATGGATCTGAGGGGACAATGGCTGGGCCGGAACACTGTCATATGGTGGTGAGTGAGAGAGGAGAATATCCATGGATCTGAGGGGACAATGGCTGGGGCGGAACACTGTCATATGGTGAGAGAGGAGAATATCCATGGATCTGAGGGGACATTGGCTGGGGCGGAACACTGTCACGAGTTGGAAGGAGAGAATATGCATGGGTCTGGGGGGACAATGGCCAGGCCTGAACACTGCATGTGATGGAAGTGGAGAATATGCATGGTCCTGAGGAGGCATTGACCAGGCCTAAATATCATTACATGGTGGGAACGGTTTAGAGACCTACATGGAGCTTGCACAAGGACTACATGGAGCAGCAGGGGAGTACAGCGAAGGTGAATATCAAGAGGTGAGGGGTGGCATCTGTAGAGCAGCACTCAGACTGAGAGAGGGTGAGACAGCACTATAGATCAATCCAGTGTGTTCCTTGCAAATATGGTGAACAGAGGAGAGAGCAGAGAGATGATCACTCAGTCTGCCTCTGCTCCTTCACTGTCCAGTCAGCAGTCGGTAGCCAGAAAAGCATCATCGCCTTGTTCCTTAAATGTAACGGAGAAAATAATGTCTTCCTGGCTGACATCTGAGAACTGGATAGAAATGGAAATTTTTGGCAGCTTTACATATAAGTATTACATCTGTGTGTTTAGATGTTTGCCTGGAGTTCAGCTTTAATAGGAAATGCTTCCTGTCCCTTCAAGCTGTTAGCAGGCTCCCAGCAAGCTTCAAGCAGTGCTGAATCTTTGTGAAAGGCTGCCAAAGCCTGATATCAGCTTGTTTGAAGTGAGCGCCAACCTTCTCATTAAGATATTTGTTGTTGAACAGACACAGATTAGAGCTAAAAGGCCCTTACATACTTCAAGAAATCGGCACAGAGTTTGGTGAAAGCATTGTAAATTCGGTCTGTGCTCACTGCTCTATAGACTGGATACAGGTATCACAGGCTAAACTTCTCTATAAAACCTGAAACTGATTTGCTTTTATTTCACCTTCTCTGGTTCTCCCTTCTGCCCTCATCATCATGCTAATGAAATAGTTAAATAAACCCTTTCGGTTTTCATTACATACTTTATTTTTTGATGGCATTACTGGATCCCTGTGCTTTTCTCTGCATTGCAGGCAGATCATGGCTGTTTGGATGGCTGAAGTGCTCGCTGTCTTTTCCTACATGTACATCACTGGCATGGTGCCTGAGTGCCAGGGTCACTGACGTATGTGCAGGAGTGACATCATCCTGCAACGGCCAATGAAGAGGGCAGAAGACCAGCCCCCACCAGAAGACGCTGGTGTAGGCGAGGGATGGAGTGTTGTAGTGGCCATTTGATTTATATTGTGACCGATATAAATTTCACTAGTTTTTTTTTTTTTTTTTTTGGTTTACGATTTTTGCTCGGTTCCATCACATTGTCTTTATTATTCTCTTTGTAGAATAATGTCGCTTCTGTGGAATCGGGATCAGACGTGATATTTAAATGGACTGTGGACGACCGCTCGTCTTTTACATATTACAACACCGTCTTCAATGTGATCTATCAGTCTGCCGCTGTGTACAAGCTCACAGTAAGTGATGGGGGGTTTTTGGACATTTTGGGGGAGATTTACTAAAACTGAAAGGTGCAAAATCTGGTGCAGCTCTGCACAGAAACCCGTCAGCTTCCGGGTTTTATTGTCAAAGCTTAAAGCGGAGCTCCACCCAGAAGGGAAAGTTCCTCTTTAAGGACTGCTGCCCCGCTCCTCATTAAGGATTGGCACCTTTGGGGGGTGGGGGGGGAGGAGCAGGTACCCGAATTCAACAGGTACCCACTCCCATTTCTGCTGCGATTGCCTAGGCGATCGGAAGCGTAAGGTGTCCTCCCTTCTGGGACACGTGACAGGTCCCAGAAGACTACAGGACCATTCATGAAGCGCAGTGCTACTCGCACATGCTCAGTGGGTACCCGGCTGTGAAGCCGCAAGATATCACAGCCAGGTGCCCACACTGAAGATGCCGGCCTCCTGGAACACTGGACGGGCGGTGAAACGGGCTGCGGGGGACACACCGAGGGACAGGTAAGTGGCTGCTTTGTAAAAGTCAGCAGCTACAGTTTTTGTAGCTGCTGACTTTTATTTTTTGACAGAGTGAGTGGAACTCCGCTTTACAGAGGAGCTCCAATCGGTTTTTGTGAATTAAAAGTCAGCAGCTACAAAAACTGTAACTGCTGACTTGTAATAAACAGATATTTACCTGTACCAGGACAGCGTAGTATGTAGGTTTTGTGCTGCCCTAGGCAACACAAAAATCAGCGCACCCCCCCTGCAGAGAGAGCCTTCCACTACCACTGCCCCCCATACACCAGCCACCATTCGCCACGGCAAGACAGAAAAAAACACTTGCCTTCCTAGCTCTGCACATCCCTCAGGAACAAGAGTCGGGCTGTGCATACACCATCATGAAACCCACAGCCTCTCTCGGAACCCACCAGGTGACCATACCTCGTGTGTCCCTTCTTCCATCCCTTCTTCCGAGGGGCAGTGATGCCCCCCCTGAAAAATGCTGCCCTAGGCAAATGCCTTGTTTGCCTTGTGGTAAATACACCCCTGTACCAGGATCCAGCACTGTCCTCACACAGGAGGCGCCAGGGACCATCTTCAGTCCTCGACGCCGGCATCTTAACTGTGGGCACCCAGCTGTGACAGCTTGCGGCTTCACAACTAAGTGCCCACTCTGCATGTGTGGCGTGTCCCAGAAGGCTACAGGTAGGAATGGGGGAAGGAGAACTTCCGCTCAGATCACCTAGGTCAGGGGTAGGCAACCTGCGGCTCTCCAGCTGTTGCAGGACTACAAGTTCCATCATGCCTCTGCAAGTCATAGCTGTAAATGTCAGTTTTGTAATGTTGCAATTCCTCATGAGAAATGTAGTTCCACAACAGCTAGAGAGCTGCAGGTTGCCTACCCCTGGCCTAGGTGATCCAAGAGGGAGTGGGTACCTGTTAAAACCAGGTACTCGCTCATCCCCCCCCCCCCCCCCCCCCCCCCCCAAGATAATGGCAAATGTCAAAGAGGTGCAGGGGAGGACCCCTTAAAGCGGAACTTCCCTTTATGGGTGGAGTTCTGCTTTAATTCAACAATATATCTGTCCTAGTTCTATGTGTAACCTGCTTGTTTTCCACAGTTGACAGCTTCAAACCATGTCAGCAATGCCTCGGTCAGTTACAACGTGACTGTGGAAAAGATGAACCCAATGCGCGACCTTATGATCTCCAGCATCCCAGATATCGTTACCCAGAATGTTTCATTACAGTTCTCTGCAAGCATACTTATCGACTCGGCTGTGGAAGTCACATTTCGGTGAGTATGGCTCAGCCTTGTTCTAATAAATCATTTTATACATTTTTTTTTTTTTTGCTTGACACTGACGTAACACAAATATGCGGCCTCACGGAACTGGGCTTTTTTCCGTGAGGCCGCATATTTGCGTACCTGTCTTTGTGCTCGCCGCGCTCCCAGCACAAAGACCCCGGTGTCACTGAGAGCCCCGGGTTCCATTCTAACGATCAGGACCCGGGACTCCTGATTCCGGGTCACATGATCGCTGTGATAGCTTCTGATTGGCTATCACAGTCATCAGTCACTGTACAGCCCGGCCCCCTTATTTTTTTTTCTCTCTCTATGAATGGAGGAGAGAGACACATTGTATCTCTCTAACTCCTGGCATAGAGAGAAAAAAAAATGTTTGTAAGAAAAAAAAAAATATATAAATTGTATTGATACATTGTATCTCTCTAATTCCTGGCATAGAGAGAAAAAAAAATGTTTGTAAGAAAAAAAATAATAAAAAATATATAAATTGTATTGATACATTGTATTTCTCTAACTCCTGGCATAGAGAGGAAAAAAAATGTAAGAAAAAAAAAAAATATATATATATATAAAATTGTATTGATACATTGTATCTCTCTAACTCCTGGCATAGAGAGGAAAAAAAATGTAAGAAAAAAAAAAAATATATATATAAATTGTATTGATACATTGTATCTCTCTAACTCCTGGCATAGAGAGAAAAAAAAATGTTTGTAATAAAAAAAAATATAAATTGTATTGATACATTGCATCTCTCTAACTCCTGGCATAGAGAGAAAAAAAAATTTTGTAAGAAAACAAATATTAAAAAAATATAAATGATAAATATTAAAAAATAAAATAAAAAGTAAAGAAAAAATACCTAGATTAAGGTTTGATCTAGTTCAGTGCCAGGGTTGGTGTTTGGGTCAAGGTCAGGGTCAGGATTTAAAAAAAAAAATTGGTTGTCAGTGTGTTTTAGGTAAAAATAAAAAGACAAAATCAAAATGCGCACTATTGTTTCTGGGCTGTACTACGGGTACAAACAACAAATAACACACATATATGGTATCGCTGCGATCCTCAAGAGCTTGAGATTTTATTTTGGGTTGTTCTTTGGTGGTAGATTATGGTAGTAACCAGAAACAAACAGCTAAATAAAAAAAAAGATTTTTTTTTTACTATTTTGGGCCAGTTTTCCTTTGATAATAAAAAAAAAAAAAACAGGAGATATTCATTACTATTTACCACCAAATGAAAGCCCAATTTGTCCTGAAATAAAACACGTCATAATTCATCTGGATGTACAAAGTAGTTGTGATGATCTGTACGGTTTTACTAACTCGTGTTAAATTTTGCAGATTTGTGCTTAGGCTTTTAGATTTGTTTTACCCTTAGGTGTGAAGGGGATAAAGTGTTACTAAACCCAACACCCTGCAGATAAAACAAATAGAAAAATGTAATTGAATAAATGGCGTTACACCATGTTGTTCAGATCCTCTTTGTTCTAGTCAACTTTCTGTATTGTACAAAGCACTTTATTCCCCTGCTCACTCATCAACTACCACCCAGGGGCAGACTGACAAACTCATGGGGCCCCCGGGCATTAGGGGATCATGGGGCCCCTATGTCCTTGCCCAAACTCAAAAAAGCCTATGAAAAAGGTACCAGGGGCATCTCATGGGGCCCCCTACTGACCCCGGGCCCTCGGGCAGTGCCCGAGTTTCCAAATGGTCAGTCCGCCCCTGCTACCACCAACACTATTATTAGAAATGATTTTCATAATAATATCACATCCCTTGCCATGTATATGCAGAGAACACTCTGTGGACACCACAGACTCTACTCAATTTTTTGAGCCTTGTATATATACCATAGTTTCTGGACTCTATAACTTTCCTACAGACTAAATAATATATCCTAATTTTGGTTATTTCTCACCAAAGAAATGTATCAGAAGAATACATTTTTACCTAAATTTATGAAAAAAGGTTATTTATTTGCAAAATTTTATGACAGAAACAATGAGAGATGTTTTTTTTTTTTCAAAAGTTTCCTTTTTTTTGTTTTGTTTTTAGCAAAAAATTTAAAAAACTCAGTGGTAATCAAATATCACCAAAATAAAGCTCTATTTGTGTGAAAAAAAGATAAAATATTTTTTATGGGTACAGTGTTGCATGACCGCGCAATTGCCATTCAAAGTGCGACAAGCTGAAAATTGGCCTGGGTAGGAAGGAGGTAAAAGTGCCTGGTATTGAAATGGTTAAAAAATTTTAATTCTATTCAAGTATAGAAGATATATAAATTCCTTCTATTGCTTCTCCAAGTTCAATTCTTCTATTGCTCCTCTTCCAGTCTCCTCTAAATCTCTAAAATTCCTTTTTTTCTTTATGCTGCGATCCGATTTCCTGTTAGAGGGTGTCAGTGTTCGTTCTCCATGGTCTCATTGTATGTAGGAAGATAGCCACCCTCTCTTGTTCACTTCCGAGATGGACTGTGGACTATGGGATTTGTAATGTGCAGATATGACCACAACTAATGTGCACTGCTCGTTACAAACAAAGGAAAGAGAGGGGAAAAAGGAGAGGTTTGGGAACCCGGATTGGACATTACAAGGAGGCAGAAAAACACATTAAATAATGCACTTTCGGTGTGCTAATGAGAAAATTTGCAGTGTCTGCAGCACTTTAGAAGTATTTTAGATTTGAGAAGTGTCTCACCCAAACTGAAGATCAGTGTTGCAGGGGGGTGCCTAAAATTTGACATGTATCTTGTGCAGACTTCTGGGCAGATCAGTGAGCCAATCACATAAGCAGGAATTGACATTTTTGGAGGCGTCCTGTGCATTAACAATGCACAGAACACCTCCAAGATATCATATTACCTTTGAATTTTACACAACATTACAGTGACTGCAGATTGAAAGGGAAAGATCTTCTTTTTTTTTTTTTCTTTTATTATTTAACTTTTTATTTCATAATTATACAAACAACCTTAAAACATATACCATCTTCCGAAATACACTTTTCTCATATGTTCCCTAAATAAATACCTTCTATAACCCCCCAATCTCCCACCTACCCATCCCCACCCACCCCACCTACATTGTCTCAGTCTTTCTTTATCTGTATCCATTTCTCCATAAATTGTTATTCCGGCCAATTTCATCATGATTCTTAGGCTACCTCCTTTACTTTAATTAGTTCTGTATAAGTTTCTGAGGTTTTAAAATTTAACCAAACACTCCATATTCTTTTAAACATTCCCATCTTATCCTCTTCTAAACATCTCAGTTCTTCCATTCTGACAATATCTTCCACCCTATCTATCCAATCCAACACCCCCGGAACCTCTGCTGCTAACCAAAATTTTGGTATCAAACCCTATATACTTCCAACTTGGGCTCAGAATAATAGAATAAGCATGTCAGTGGATCTCCTTAGATATTTACCCCACATATTTTCCTGGATATAATGAGCTATTTCCCTCCAATAAACCTGTATCCTCGGGCAACACCACCAGATGTGCTCTATATTACCCTTTTCTCCACATCCTCTCCAGCACCATGGGAAGCTAGGGAAAGATCATTTTAACCCCCCTGGTGGTATTCCTGAGTGTAGCTCGGGGTAAAGTTTCAATACCAAAAGCGGTAACCCCCCCGAGCTACACTCGGGCTTACCATGCGGCGTTGCACAGGGATTCCCTACAGCGCTTACCTTGTCCTTCGCTCCCGCAATGCGTCCCCTGCAGCGTCCCCAGCCATCTCCTCCGGCCGATGCCGGCATCTGGCTTCCGTGTTCCGGTCCCTATGACGTCGGGACGTACGGGCGCCGGAATCGGCGGCAAATTTGAAAATTTAAAAAAAATGTAATTTTTTATCAAATCATTTCACATACATTTTGTCCTTACTGCTTTGTCCTGCGCCCTGCCTGCATTTTGACTTTTCTTTCTGCCTGGAAACTTAGAAAAGTCCATGGCGTCCAAAAAGCGTCCCTTTAGGTCAAAATCGGTTTTAGACCAGCTAGAGAACAGCGATAGTAAATCAGAACCACTTGCAGAATTGAGTGATAATGATTCGTGGGGGAAATTCGTCATCAGACACTGAAAACGATTTTGCGACTTTGCTCAGTGATGTGCAAACTTGGCGCTCTTTTTCAAATTTCAGTGTTTTTGGTTTGATTATATTATTGAATTAAATGTATTATTATTATATTATTTTTTATGAGTATTTATTAAGTAAGTAATTACTAAGAATTGCAGGCCTACAATACATAACACCAAATTTCCATGCAAAAAAATGGTACCACTTTTGGTACAAAATTCTTGACATAATCATACCGCCAGGGAGGTTAATTACAGTAAAGTTATTGAAAATACTAAATTAAAAAAGAAAAATCGGGATTATACTTACCTGATCTACGCAGTGGAATAGCCTTTTCCAAAATATTGTGACACAAAAAAATTACAACTTCCAAAAACTCGCCATGCCTCCTACTAAATATCTCGGACTTTCAATAACAATGCACAGAACACCTCCAGGTTATCATATTACCTTTACAGGACATTATACTTACTTGCTCTGTGCAGTGGTATAGCACAGAGCAGCCTTGACCTGAACCTTCTTAGGTCCCTTGCCAGCACCCTGGCTCCTCCTGCTTTTGTGAATTCCTTCATAGCAAGCTGCTTGCCATAGGGGCACTCGCGTGGGCTCGCTCCCAAGCCCAGCTGTTTGCATCTATAGACACAGACAGCACATCTTGACCCCACCCCTCACTCCCTTGTTACTGGCTTTGATTGACAGCAGCGAAAGCCAATGGCTAAGGTAAGCCTGCAAGACTGGGAAGTGAGGGAAGGGAGAGAGAGCCGCCACAGATTGGCACAGTGCTGGATCGAGTGAGAGCTCTGGTAAGTATAAAGGGGGTAAGGGGACGATACACATACTGGAACATTTTGTATCTTAATGGAAGGAATGCATTAAAGGTAAAATATATTTAGGCTTTATAACCACTTTAAATTCCAACATGGCTTGTGTACAATTGTATATGCTATATTATTATTTTTATTTACTATATTTTTTCCCATAAAAGTGGAGCTGCCCTTTCAGTAAAGCATTTGTGGTAAACAATCTCCACCTTTATCGTTGAAAACAAGGCTACACACCATTGATATCACCTACTTTGAAAATATTAGGTTCCTATCCCCCCCCCCTCCAATGTATTTCACCTGTATGGGTTTAGTCATAGAGATCTTGTTTCTTTCTAGGCCCAGTGTTTACATTAGTTGTGTTCTGTATGAGATTCTTAGTCTTTGTATGGCTTCTTTTTCAGATGGACATTTGGAGATGGCACGCCGCAGCTTGAGTATAATGTTCGGCCTCCTTATAACCAGTCAGTCTCTGTTCCTGACCTGCCCATGCATATGGTAGTTGCTGAGAGTAGTGTCACCCACACCTACCAGGAAACGGGTAAGAAATTGAACTCTTTACCATGCTCAACAGGAAGTCAAGGAGAGGGGCATTATGTGTCACTGGCTTCCCATTGCCCAACGGATAAAATTCAAAACATTAACAATAACATATAAAGCCATTTATAACTCTGCCCCAACTTACATCACTAACCTTGTCTCCAGATATCACCCAAACTGTCCTCTCCGCTCCTTGCACGACCTCCTGCTCTCTAGCTCCCTTGTCTCCTCCTCCGATGCTCATCTTCAGGACTTCTCCAGAGCTTCTCCCATCCTCTGGAACTCTCTACCCCAATCTATCAGACTATCGCCTACTCTGCTCACTTTTAGGCGATCTCTGCAAACCTATCTCTTCAGGGAAGCCTATCCTGCCCTCAGTTAATAATGGAATCTTCTATTCCTCCTACCAGTCCATCCCCCACAGTTATTACCTTTTGTACCACCAGCCCCTCACTCTTAGATTGTAAGCTCCAAGGATCAGGGCCCTCCTATCCCTCTTGTATTGAACTGTATCGTTGCTGTATTGTCTCCCGTTATATTGTAAAGCGCTGAGGAAACTGTTGGAGCTATATAAATCCTGTATAATAATATATAAATCCTGTATAATAATATATAAATCCTGTATAATAATATTTTTTAATCAGAGATCAGTGGCTTGGAAGTCTGTTCTACTTTAGTTGAGGAGAAGTTTGCCATTTTGTGATCCCTGTTCACAATCTTTCAGTAAATCTAGTTATGTGGACATTTGAAAGCCTAATGACACAAATATGTTGTATATTTGCCTTGGTTGTATGTACGGCTGAGTTACACTTTTGTCTACAACTGCCCAGACTGTGGATAGAGTGTATTTAGAAGTAAATCAGTCTGGGGAACGTGATCCAGTCTAGCAGATTATTATAGCTAAAGAGGACCCAACCTCCCCTGTTCATTTTACACAGTTTTCACCAGAACCTGAATGCCCATTGGAAGATTATTCCTCTACCCTTCTTTTCTGGTGAAAACTCAATTTTCTGTCTTTTTTCTCACATTTAGCCCTGGTGTTAGTGGTCACCAGAACAGAGTAAATCTCCCTTAGAAATTGAAAAAAAAAAAGGTTTTATATTTATATATGCTATTATGGTAAAATAGACATCTACAATATGTGCTTAAAGTGTCACTAAACCCACATTCTTAAAAACTCAAAATGCTGTATTACATGCTGTTCATACTCACTCAGTCACTGGGGGATTTGTTTTTCTGTAGTCTGCAAAAAACCTGGTTGATCCTGCTGGTCTCTGTCTCCCCCTTCTGTCCATGTCCCCAAAGCAGTTGGGGATTTTTCAAAGCAGTGTTGGCATCTAGTGCACATGCTCAGTTTTCAGTGAGATACTATGCTGAGCATTTCCTCTCTATCACACATAGGGCAGCCCATGTGAGTATAGAGTCATACATGTGGGCATATACACAGTGGTAAATGACAGCCCAGTCCCTCTCTCCTGCATGCCCACTAACCAGCTGAACAATATGGGGGTGGGACATTAAATCTTGATGGATGGAGTCTTCACTTCCCTGTTTTTCTAAGACATGGGCTAGAGGGGAATGACACAGCCTGTGACTGGCAGAAATCCGCCCACACCATGTTATTGTAAAAAAAAAAAAAAAAAAAAATTTGATTTCAAATATATATTTGTAAGATGATCTAAAACAGTTTGTTGGTATTAATTATTTATTTTAACTCAGTATTCCAAAGGATACTTTTTATTTTGAACATGTGTCCAGCAGCAGAGGACTAGAAGCTCCTCCTCCTTATGTTTCCCTGCTGACAGGCTGGGCAAAAGCTGGGTCATGTGACTGCTGTATTTCGATTAGAAAAAAGGTGCTTCGTTTTTTTGGGGTGTTTTTTATTAAAATAATTACAGTGCCATCATCCATTTGCAGAAAGAGAAAGAACTATGTAAATAGTGTGTGTTTAGTATCCATTTAACCTTAATTTACCCTAAAGTGTATATGTGGTCAAAATCGAAATTTATATATTCATTTTCACATTGCATTTCAATTATTTATAGCCTACTTTTATTAGTCTAAACAAATCTTGAAGTTTGCTAACTTTGTGAAGAGCCCTTGGAGTTGGCACTGCTGTGTCACACATCTCACAGTACCTACCTTCTGAACTACAGAGGTAATGGGAGGAGGTTCAGGAGTCAATACAGGAATCACAGTTTGCAGGTAGAAAGGTACCATTGCATATGTAATAGTATATTAACCGACTTAAATACACTCAAAATCCATTAAAGAAAATAAAAGGAAAAAATTTTTTGTCCAAAATCTCAAGCACAATGTCCAAAAATAAAGTCCATATCTTGATAGATAAGTGTTCACTAATCCAAAGTGAAAATGAATGCCAAAAGTTCTTCATATACCTCAAAAAAGAAGAAAAAATCCATGGCATATGTATTCCTTGAAAATGGAAAGCGAACCAAAATAATAAGAATAAGAGACGTTGCAAAGCATGCAGGTAATCTAGGAAGTTGTGAAAAGAGATGGAGCACTAATATTGGATTGTCACTAACGACTATTGTTTGTATTGCTATTACAATGCTGATATTTTGAAATGAACGTGCATGCCGAGACGATGGAACTCCTGTAACTTACCCATGTAATTTTGTTGTATATCCTTCAGGTGCCTATAATGTGTCGCTAGTCGTGTTCAACAAGTATGAAAATATGTCGAAACTGATCTCGCTGCAAGTTCAGAGCATCTTGACCAACTTAACTATTGAAACTGATGCTGATGTATTGGTCAGTGGCAGGATGATCAGTTTTCAAGCATCAGCTGAACCCTCTCCATTTGGAGTCATCTACTCATGGGACTTAGGTGATTGTACTTACTACCACAACAGCAGCAAACCAGTTGTGAATCATACGTATGATAACACCGGATCCTTCAATGTCAGTATCTGGGCAATGAATGATATCAGTGAAATAAGGGTTGTGAAGACTTTTTATGTCTATGAAGAAATTACTGGTTTAGTTGTCACATCAGATGAGCCTACTGAAAGAGGTTTGCAGACGTTCATTAATGCTTCAGTGGAAAGCGGAGATGCTATTACATGGAGATTTGATATGGGAGATGTTTCTATCCTAGAGGGTAATGAGCCTATGGTAAACTATACATACTCCAAAGATGGTAACTATACTGTTAATGTCACTGCACGGAACCCGGTGAACTCCATCTCTGAGATCCTCCAAGTGCGGGTGTATGTCTTACAAATTCTTAAGATAGAGCCTTCTGCTTGCATTTTGGGAAATTCAAATGTCACTCTGACCGCTCATGTTACAGGAGATTACCAGACTTACACCTTTAACTGGACATTTGATAATGGTACTTCAAGCATCACTGTATATGGAGTTCCATCTGTGCAGTATGACTTTTCAAACAGCGGAATTTTCCCTCTTTCCCTAATTCTCTCAAGCCAGGTCAACAAGGCTTACTATTATACCAATATCTGTGTAGAACCTGAGATAGTCAATGTTACATTACACCCGGCTCTACAGAATGTAAGTTTAGGTAATGAAAGTTCATTTAAAGTGATTGTCTTTCCTCTCTACCAGTACAGATATAATTGGGACTTTGGGACCAATGGCTCAAAGTATAATGGTGGAACAGAAATTAGTTTCATGTATAAAGTCCCTGGAGTATATCAGGTCACAGTGTCTGTGTTCAACAATGTTTCTTTTCACAATGGAACGGCACTTGTAGATGTCCAAGAGCCCATCGGAGCATTAGATATCAAGCACAATGGAAGTGAGGTTTTAGCACTAGATCAAGTGTACTTATTTGAAGCCTTGGGTAGTGGGACAAAAGTTGAACATCACTGGGATTTTGGCGATGGCATTTCAGACCAAAGACAATCCGTAGCACATGCTTATAATAGAACTGGGACTTTTACTATCAATCTGTATGGCTATAATAATGTAAGTTTTAACCGAACCCATTTGAATGTCACAGTTAAGACAAGGATTCAGGGGCTGACTATGAATGCCACCAGGACAATAGTGCCGTTAAATGGCTCTGTGACCTTCTCAGCCTTTCTTCAAGCAGGGGATAATGTTCGCTACTCATGGATATTATGTGATCGATGTTCACCTATATTTTGCAATTCCACAATTTCTTACACTTTTCGATCTATTGGGACGTTTAATGTAATAGTGACAGCTGAAAATGAACTTGGCTCCCTGCAGGATAGTATCACCATCTACGTCTTGGAAATTATCGAAGGACTGCAAATCATCACAGGGGACTTGGTCAATGATTGCTGTTTCCCAACGAACAAAAGTCTGCCTCTCCAGGCCACAGTGAGGGACGGGACAAATATCTCTTACAGCTGGTTTATTTTGAAAAATGACAGTGTTGTTCAGATTGGTGCTGGAAAGACCTATCAGTTCACAAGTCTACAACCAGAATCTTATACCATTGTCTTAAAAGCTGTAAACATGTTGGGAAACGCAAGTGTCTCCATTAATGTAGTGTTTGTGGAAAGCCTTGGTCATGTTCAGCTCTATGCTCATCCCAACCCAGTTGCAATTAATACCACAGTCAACATTAGCATGAGTCTGAGTAGTGGGTCAGGAGTGATGTACACTTGGTATCTAGAAGAAAGTGTGGTGTGGTTTACATATGAATCTTTTGTCCTTTACAATTTCCTACGTCCTAATCCAAAAGAAGTGCTTGCTGTTGCGAACAACACTTTGGGCTTAGTCAACTCAACCGTTACCATCTTCGTTCAAGAGTCAGTTGAAGGTTTGAGCATTACAAGCCTGGACCATAAAAATGATTACTTACCAACTGGAACTCTTGTGTACCTTATTGGCAATGTGCAACGTGGTACCAATGTGTCCTGGTTTTGGAGTATTGAAGATGAACACATGGAAGAAAGGTCAGCTACTGTGCACTTTAATAAACCTGGATTCTATACTGTCAGCCTGAATGCATCAAATGATGTGAGCTGGGAAATTGCCTATAAAAATTTTACCGTCCAGGACAAAATATCTGGCTTGATGGTGCTGGTGAGCAAAATGGTGGTGGAACCTGGTGAAAGAGTCACTTTTATTGTCAACATGTCAGCTGGAACCAATGTAAACTATAAGTTGACTATTAATGGGGATTTTTCCATTTTACTTAACGACACTAGTTACACCTATGAATTCACAAAAATCGGTGGCTATCCTGTGACTGTGGTTGCCTACAACCATGTGAGTGAAGAACAGGTCACTGTCATGATTTCTGTGCTTGAAGCAATAGAGAATCTAAAAATTGTAAATTGTTGTGAGGTGGCTTTACCAGCCCGAATTGAGAAGAGCTTCAGAGCAGAGGTCAGTAATGGCTCTTTGGTTGCTTACACCTGGCAGTTTGACTTACAGGGTCATCCGCCAACCAGCTTAGCAGGCAGAAATGTAACCTACATGCCAATGGCTGCTGGGGTCCTTACAATCCACTTGAGTGCATCTAATGCTTTAGGAAGTCAAAACATCTCCAAAGTAATCATAATTCAAGAACTGATTGTCAGTGTCACATTGGTGCCTGTCAAAACTTTTGTCAATCGAAGTGCCACTTTTAATGCTGTTGTGGTTCCTAGCCCCTTAGATGTTCGTTTTGAGTGGACGTTTGGGGATAATGCCTTTGCTTTAGTGACATATGCTGCCACTGCCGAACATACATACTTAACCCCTGGAGACTTTGTGGTAAAGGTCAATGCTTCCAACCTGATCAGCTTTTGGATTGTTGAAATGACAGTCACCACCCGGATTTTAGAATGTGAAGAGCCAGAAGTTCAGCTGGAGCTACCAACTCAGGTGATCATGAGGAGGTCACAGAGAAATTATATTGAGGCGGAGATTAATTTGCGGGGTTGCATTAGCTATCAAACAGAACATCTCTGGGAAATTTATAAAGCTTCTAGTTGCCTAAGCTATCATGAGTCAGACAAAGTCCTCCTACTGAACGTGGATATGAGCAGACCTCAGCTTGTGGTGCCCAAATTAGCCCTTGATATAGGAAACTACTGCTTTGTCTTCTCTGTGTCTTTTGGGGACACACCCCTCTCTAGAAGCAGCTTTGCCAATGTGACTATGATGCCTAGCAAATTGGTGCCCATCATCGATGGTGGATCTTACCGTGTTTGGTCAAGTAGTCGAGATTTAATTTTGGATGGAAAAAAGTCTTATGACCCGAACCTAGAAGAAGATGAGCAAACTCCACTGACCTATAAATGGTCTTGTACAACTTTAACAAAGGTAAGATATTTGTTCTTTATTTTACCTCTCTGTGCTGTCCTTATTGCTCACTTTGTTTTTGGTCCCAAGTGTTGTGAGCGTAGTTAGTGTACCAATAAGAAATGAAACTATATGTAAAATAAAGAGTATCTTTAGCCTAAACTTTCATTTTTAGTTTTTGATAGAGTGGCGAATGGTTAAAGTCTTTGACAAATTTTATTTCACTTTACTATCTTGTACACATCTAGAAGTGAGCAGAGATCTCTCCATAGTAAGGGATATACACAGCTGTCACTGAAACCAAGTGTTCCCATTTGAAGATTTCCGCTCTATTCCTGATCCACTAATATACTGAAAGTTTGGAATTTTCCTCACTTACAGACCCTGTGATAAATTTAGGGAGTGCCTACAGTGGCAGGGTAATTTATTATCTGTATTTTGTATTATCCTTCACTGATGTTGGGTGGGGTGGATGTTAACATTGCTCACATTTCAAATTTAGACTTGTGCTAGAAGGAAAAGTTAGGGAGGAACTATTTTCATTCTCTATTACATACACTGCTCAGAAAAAATTAAAGGAACACTTTGAAAACACATCAGATCTCAATGGGGAAAAATATCATGCTGGATAGCTATCCTGATATGGACTGGGTAATGTGTTAGGAACTTAAAGATGCCCCATTGTTTGATGGAAATGAAAATGATCAACCTACAGAGGAATTCAAAGACACTCCCGAAAATGAAAGTGAAAAAATGATGCAGCAGGCTAGTCCATTTTGCTGAAATTTCATTGCAGAAATTCAAAATGGTACTCAGTAGTTTGTATGGCCCCCAATTGTCTGTATGCATGCCTGACGGATGGTGTCCTGGGGTATTTTCTCCCAGATCTGGAACAGGGCATCACTGAGCTCCTGGCGTCGTCGGATGGGCTGAAACATGATATCCCAGAGGTGATATATTGGATTTAGGTCAGGCGACCCTGTAGGGTCCAGGTATTGCCTACTGCTACCAGCCGTGACATTGACCCTAGCCAAATGCAAAACTAGTGAAAAACAGAAAAAATGAGTAGGGAAAAAAAATCTCAGTGGCCTCCACCTGTAAAATCATTCCTGTTTTGTGGATTTTCTCATTGTTGCCCATCTAGTGCACCTGTTCTTAATTTCATTACCACCAAAGCAGCTGAAACTGATTAACAACCCCCTCTGCTACTTACCTGACCAGATCAGTATCAGTATCCCAGGAGTTTAATTGGCTTGATGCTATACTCTGATTAAAAAGTGTTTCCTTTAATTTTTTTGAGCAGTGTATATAGATTTATAGATTCTTTCTGTAGTGCCTATCTGTATTTCACTGTAATCAATTAGCCTCCCTTCTCAATGACTGTTGAAATAAAATCTCAGCAATACAAAGAAATCTTTTCTTTCAGTCTGTCAGTCCTGAAAACCCTATTGTAGTTTTAGCAAAAAGTA